TGGTTGAATAGCTACATACCCATGTAAATACCCCTGTAAAGTTAGTCTGAAATTTGGCCAATATTAGTAATGTATCCGATTTTAAAATCTCAATAACTTTTAAAATTATATTTTAATCTAAAATATAAGCGGATTTTCTGAAAAGTATAACTTAATCTATAAAAATCAGCTTATTTTTTTAATAATTAATAAAATAAATAACTAGATACATTTAGAATTTATGTTAAATTTTTGATGACTATAGATGTTATACACCATATAATTTATTAATTACAATTAAATTTAACGTAAAATTATAAAAACAGTTACTATATTAATAATATTATTATATTTTATAAATTTTGTAATATTATGATTGATCATAAAAATAAATTAAAAGTTGATTAATATTTAAAAATAAATAAATATTGTTAATGGAAGAAATTACAGCTTCAAATATCATATAAGATTTATCAATCAATAATGATTTCACGTTAAATAATATTACTATTATGCTAAATAGTGATCAATAATAATTTCTATTTCTTCTATATTTATTGTATAGCTTATTTATTCTATTTATTTTGTTTTACCTATAATTCTTTTAATTCTATAATTTATTTTATTCTTTTTATTATTTTTATAGTTTATATTGTTTTATTATTTTATTACGTTTAAGTATATTTTTATTAGAATATGTATTTATATTTTAGTTAATTTATAGCATAATAAATAGTTAACCATAGAAATTAATTTTGTATAAATAGAATAGCTTTTGCTTAAGTTGTAAATTAACTTAGTTATAAGTAAAGATGACACTATAACTAGTTGTAACTATGTAATACTTATTTGTTACAGAGTTACAACTAGTTATAGCGCTATCTTTAGTTGTAAGTTTTTAAACTCTTTTATGGGTTTCAGTATTATAAATAAAGAAATCTTCTCAACATTATTCCTTATCTAGGATTTGTTATGATATCTATACTAACTTATTATTGAGTTCATCATTATGAGCTTAATTAAATATATCTTAAATTCTAAAATATAATAAATTGTTAAGTTGATTTAAGTATCACAGATACCTGTAGGATTTAGAAAAAATTCTAAGATTAAAAGTTCTAACGTGTAGAATTAATTATCACAACCTTTTGACTTAAACATTAAGATAACTAAAAATAAACCAGTGACAATATAAAAATTATAAATTTCAATAGAATATAAAATAATAGACTGTTATAACAATTTAAACTTAAAATCTTTAAGTATATATTTGTTAAAAGAAACAAATTTAATTTAAAATTAGTTAAAGTTTTTATTATAGTTGATATTCTATTCAAAAAGATAATAAATTAAGATTTTTTTTATAAATTTTATAAAATAGTATATTTTATCATTGATTATTAATTTATTTTTAATTTTTATTATTATTATTAATTATTATTATAATTTTATTAAGTAAAATAATTGTAGATACTAATAACTACATGAAAAATTTTTATCAAAAGTATATAATCAAAAAATTAAAAATTTAAATATATATTATTAAAAAAATGAAAAAAGTTTATGAAAAGACAAATAGTTAATATAATTTTTACTTTTAAAAATCAAATAAAATTAATTGTTATAAAATACGTTATTATAGCAAATAATACAATAATATTATAAATAATTTGATTTTGTTTAATAATATATTACTTCTTATCACTGATAATATTAATTATATTATTAATATATTTAAAATTAATTATTAATTATATTACAAATGAATATAATAATTATTTTACATGTATTATAAATTTAATTAGAGAATATTAGATAAATTTTTAATTTTTTAATTATTTGATATCATTATTTCAAATATTAAAGTACCTCTATTTTTTAAAATTATAATATAAATTTTAGTTTTAATATTATCTTATCATTATTGTCAGTAAAAATATGTTAATGTAATTAGTATTACATAAAAGAAAACTTTGATAATAATGATCTAAAATATGATGATGATTTAAAAGAAATCATAAATATCATAAATATTATCTAGATCATCTAAGTCATCTATTCCATTTATTTTATTTATTACTTTTGTTTTATTTATTTCTTTTATATATTTTATTTTAATACTTTTATCAATAACTTTATATATTTTATTTTATATAAATAGAAAAAATTTTTTTTTATTTTAGCAATATAACTGAATAAAAATTTCTTTAGATAGTTTACTTTAATATTTCTAATATATTTATACAATATAGAATGCTAATTAAAGTAATACTTATTTATTATTATTATTAAATAAACTATTTACCTATTAATACTCTTTTAAATCAATTATAAAATTAACCTTCTACTTACCATTTAACTATATTATATTATTTATAACTTATAAGTATTTTAAAGAACAGACTGTAATATTAGTTTAGATTTATACTTTAGCTTAATAATTATATTTCACATATTCTATTTTTATTGAAAAAGAAAAATTGGATAATAATAGTAAAACAGTTTATGATTTAACAAAAAACATTTTAAAATTAGATAGCATTTTTTAATCTTAAAATTATGATCTTTTTATTAAATATAATGTAAACTGGTAAATAAATTTTTAAATTAATTATTAAATTATATATTATAACCTTAAGTTAATTTATTAATTACTTTATTTTATTTAATTTTGTTTTTGATTTAGAATTTTTTAAAATCAGAAATAAATCTTTAGCAAGCTTTTGTTAACAATCTTGTAAATTATACTCAAGTTGCATTAGAATATAATAGTAATTTCATCAGAAATAATTATAAAATGTAATAATTGATCTTTATTTAAAAATATTCAATGTTTTAATTACCGATTTATTCAGATACAAATTAAACAAAATATTTTATTATATATCAAATATAATTGAATTTCAAAATTCTACAAATGTTTTATTGAATGGATGATTTATAGTAGATTAAAAGAAATAATAGGAGAATTGGATTTAGATAAATATTGAAAAAAAAAAAGTTTTAATAATACCAAATTTATCAAAATTAGAATGGATTTATATTTGGTTACCAGTAGCTGGAGTAGATATAGAACCCAGTTTTCTAATTATAAAAATATGTTTAAGTAAAAGAAAGAATGCGTCTTTCTGAAAAATCTATTTCAATGCTTAATTTTTGTATTATAACCAAAAATAAATTGATGTTATTTTACATTCAATAATTTTACCTAAAATTTAAAATTTAACAATTTTTACCAGAATTATAAACACATATTATCGCATATTTGATACATACGATATTTCGAGATTTACCATCACATATTTCTGGCTAATTTTGACCATTTCGAACGAAATTATTTAGGTTCGACTTAATATCGGTTTCAGGTTTAGTTTCCCGAGTTACTAGTTCAAAGAACAGCTATGATTCCGCCTCCTATTCAACGTGGTATGATAGTACTCAACCGAGAACTATTTCGACACGAAGTTAGCGTTGTTGGAATACGCGTTCCTACAAGCTCAACAGCAAAGTTCTTGAAAGTTTTAAATAAGTAAGATCTAAAAGTATGTGTTGCCAACTTGGAGAATTTTTTTAAATTACAAAGTTTTTTTTTTTTTTTTATGCATTAGAGAATTATTCAATCAACCAAAGCTAAGAAATGTTGTGGATGATCCTGGATCCAATTTGTCAAAAATTATTTTAATGAACCTAAACGTCCAAAGCTTAGGTATTGTTATTTTATCAAAGATATTATAGAAAAAAAACATATTAAAAGAGTTTACTTATTCTTCGCTGTAATTGGTCCAGATCTTGATAATGTACCAAATGAAATGAAAGATTTTATCAATAAAGAAGGACTCGGTGTCGTAAGGCATTTAGTCGAATTAAAATATGACTATTGGGGAGTTGGTATATATCCAGATTCAAAAGTTGTTGGAATATTTTCAATTTTATAATAAATAATGTAATTTCGATTTAAGATGATATACTCAAAGCTATATTACCTGAGAACTCTGAATCTCCATCATCTTTTACACAAGTTGGACATATTGGTGAGTTAATTTCTTCAAAATATTAAAGCAAAAAGTTTCTCAATTAAGAAATTGATATAAATGCTACTTTTAATAAAGCTCATATGAATTTACGAGAAGAATTCCTTCCTTGGAAATTTCTTATAGGCCAAGTCATTCTTGATGTAAGGACAAATTTGGCAATCTTTAATAATTGTGTAAAACTAATGCTCATTTTTCAATAAATTTTTAAAGAAAAATCCAAAAATCATGACAGTTGTGAACAAAACCGATATGATTGATTCAACATATCGATTTTTTCAAATGGAACTTTTGGCCGGAAAAAATAATATGATCGCTGAAGTGGTCTGTCTTAAGTAGCAAGTATTTATTTGCAAATGAGAAGTATAATTATGTAAACGAAATAATAACCATTTCTAATTGCATTTTCATTTCTATCAATATAGAAAGAAAGTAATTGTAGATTTCGATTTGATTTCTCACAAGTATATTGGAATTCACGATTACATACTGAACACGATCGGTTAGTAAAGATGTTTCAAAAAGGAGATTATATATGTAAGTAATGTTTTTAACATATTTAATATATTTGTTTAAGGCAAAATTTTATAGTTCTTATATTTATAGGCGATGTTTTTGCTGGTGTGGGACCTTTTGCAATCCCAGCTGCAAAAAAAGGATGCATTGTTTACGCGAACGATTTGAATCCCGTGTCATATAAATATCTTCAGGAGAATATTTCATTAAATAAAGTAAATATAATTTATTCAAGAAAAGGAAAAATGAAATTCATTGGTTTATTTATTGATTTGTATTTGAAATTATAGGTAAACAGTAAAATTTATCCATATAACCTTGATGGTTATGATTTTATAAAAAAAGCCGTACAAGATTTGGAAAAAAGTCTAACCGTTGTAGTAGATAAAACCACATCATCTAAATCAGTAGCAAATCAATCCCCTGAATTTCGAACATTTAATCATTTTATCATGAATTTACCTGCAACAGCTATAGAGTTTCTAGGTAACCAATTAATTTGTTTCCTTTGGAGTGTACACTCCAATTTACTTAAATTAATTTAATTTGGATTTCTATTTGTAGATGCTTTCAAAGGACTTTATAAAGATAAAGAATCTTTTATAAAAAATCCTCGCGTAGATTTACCAATGATTCATTGTCATTGTTTCTCAAAAAGTGAATTTCCCGAAACAGAAATAATTAAGGTAATTTTATGTTGATAATATTTTAATTAAATTCTTCAAATTGTCACTTGATCTTTTAACCCATCTTTTTTAATTTTTAGCGTATTAATTCAACAATAACATATCCAATGCAAGCAGATAAATTTAAGGTTCATTTTGTTAGAAAGGTTGCACCAAATAAAGATATGTTTTGTGTTAGCTTCAGGTTAAGTCAAGAAGTCGCATTTGCTATCGAGAGGTAACTACCAAGGTTATATATAATACATATTTTCTCTTGTATTTCACGCGCACATTAATATTTACATTTTACTATTAATAATAGCACCAAAAATAAAAGTGATTTGGATGAAGTTGATACTTTATCACATCAAGCAAATTTTGAGAAATCTAACGAGCAGAAGTTGGTATCCAAAAGAAGAAAAGTAGAATGAAATCAAATAATTAAGTAGTTTTAGTAACACAAATTATGGCATAATTTAAATTTCAAAAAATTCACATGCCAGTTGATTGAGCTTTCTTTAATTGATAAAAAAAATATTATAAAAACATTTTAGAAGGGATTCAACTCAATCTAATTGATATAATATTTATTTATAATTAAGAAATAATAAAGGAATATATGCTAGGAAATTTTCTAAAAATATTTCTAACATTTATATATAATTTTTTTTACAACTTTAATACTAATAATTACTACGAAACTTTGTATTTATATTATTATATTCAAAACTCCATAAATTTGTAATAATGGTTATAAAAATAATAAATAAAGCATCAAAAGTTAAAATTTGTATGTATATATAAATGGTTTTATGGTAACTCTCTTAATAAAGCTTTGCAGTGATCATCAAATAAAACAATAAGACGATTGTAATGCACAAATAACAAGCAAAGGTTTTTTTTTTTTTTTTTTTTTTTCACTTTCAAATTTATATACTACGAGAATGAAATTAAGACTTTGTTTTAAATCACATTATCGTTCTTAATGCTAAATATTTAGCAATTGAAAACAAGATAAAAGACAAAAACAAAATAAATGTTCTATAAAGTGCATATTAGACAATAAAAATAATGTTCATTAAATGAAAAGTGAATCCAAGCTTTTAAACCATATATCTCCATCATAAATGTTTTATGACTTTATTGTTGAGCACATTGTACGCTTGGGCCATGACCCTCCTCTTCATCTTCAGCACCATTCATATGAGTTGATGCTGAACGTTGTTGTTCATCGTTCATTGCCATTAATTCAACTTCTTCTGTGTTAGCATCATTAGGAATTGGCAACGGTTGCCGCGCGGGTAAAATACTCTCGAGTGACAAGATATTTTGTTTATCAGTCCAATAAGAAGGCGGGAATTCTATCTCAAATTGTACAAAGAGTGTACCATAGTCGTGATGACGATATGATGGCATTCCATGTTGAGGAATAGATTTTAATTGTCCTATTGAACAAATTATTATTATTTGACTTCATTGGAAATAAATTATGTAATATAATAATTGAACTCAAATTTAACTCACCAGGTTTTATAACTTCACCCGCATCAATATTGACCACCAAATACTTTTCATCAAGATGTTTAACCATAAATTGACCACCTGCCAATGCTGTCAGAAGGTCTATCTTTGCTGTAAAATATAGATCGTCCCCACGACGTTGGAAACGTTCATGCGGTTTTTCTTCAATTTGAATTATCACATCACCAGGTTCAATACCAGGACTTTGATCTGCTTCACCACTGAATGTAATCTCTTGACCATTCCTCATACCTTTATCGATATGAACTTCAAGTACTTTACGTTCATTAACAATTTTTTTACCTTGACAGCTTTTACACTTGTCTTTTTCACGAATAACCTCACCTTCACCTCCACATGAAGGACAGGACTGTTGAATTTGCTGTACCATAGGACCCAAGGTTCTCATGATAATTTTTACACCAGTACCATCACAAGTTGAACATTTTTTGACAGAACCTTCTTTACCACCTCTACCCTCACACTTTGAGCAAATTACATTTTTGTTAAGAGATAATTTGCTAGTCTTTCCACTATATAAATCTTCTAAAGTTACTTTGAGTACATGTTTTAAATTTTTGCCTTTTCGTGGTCCCGGGCGTGGACCTCTTCCAAATACATTTCCACCGAAAAAGCTTGAGAAAAGGTCTTCGGCTGACATTCCACCCATTCCTCCATCATTTGATAAACCTTCTTCTCCAAATTGATCGTAAATATCTCGCTTTTCTCTTTCAGAAAGAATTTCAAATGCATGTCCAATTTCTTTAAATTTATCACCTGTATCTGGATTCTGTAAAAAGTGTTTAATATGGTTAATTGGTGATATTTAAAGTATATAAAGCAGATCTCTTTTAGACTTTGAAATTACGGTTGTTATAGTATTCAGTTCGCCAAAATAAAAATTCGTATGAATTTCTAGAATATATCGAACTACTTAACCTATTTTTTAATTAAGTGAAAATATATATATATACCTTGTCAGGATGATATTTGAGTGCCAGTTTCCTATAAGCCTTCTTTATTTCTGCTTCTGAGGCATTGGGAGCAACCTCCAAAATATCATAAAGTTTAGTGTCCTTTACCATTCTGTATAATTAAATTGAAAAAGTATTTTTATTTTAAAAAAAAAAAAATATATATAGATATATTTTATATGTAAAGACTTTGTTTTATTAGAAAAAAAAAAAAAGAGGAAAAAAAAAAAAAAAAATTTTTTTAATATTTTTATATGGATGTCCAGCAGGAATATTCTAATTGTTTCCAGCACTTTCTTTATCTTTTCGCCATATCTGTATGGTTTACTGCGGGTGTATAACTGTCAAAGGATTTGAATCTCCATTTAGTAATTTTTATGGACGGGGTTTGATTTTATCTACGACTACAAATGGTTATTAGGTAATATTAGTATATTGAAGTTTAAATGTCATTTTAATATTATTAAAATTATTAATAAAAAAAAAAAAAATAAAGAAAATTTATAAATATGCAAAATTGTAGATTTATAAGATTTATAAGATTTATATTAAAAATTTTATTAAATATTAATTTCTTTAAAATCTATTAGTAAAATTATATTATCATTAAAATAATTAATTATAAATAATAATTTAATATAATCTAAAAAAATTAGAATTATTTGTATAATAATTATACAATCTAAGTTTTTTAACATCAAAATTTAAATCTTATTTATCCTATTTTTAAATAATTATATATAAGAATATTTTTAGTAAAATCAAATTATTAAATATAGTAAATTATATGATTATAATAATTTTATTGACAATGCATCTATATAATCCAATAAAAAAAATATTTTAAAAACTTATTATAATTTAATAAATTAATTAAAGAATTAATATATAAAATTTATATATATTTTATATATTTTATTTTAGCAAAAAATTATAATATATATTATTATCCAATTTATAATTAGGTTAAATTAATTTAATCAATTAAGTAATAAATAAGATTTAACTTAAACTTCTCAATAAATTTAGGAAAAACTTAAATAAAATATTTTTTACAAAGTAAATAAATATAAATTATATATTTTATATAAAATTATTTTAAGATACTTGTTGTTAATGTTATTCTTCTTTTGAATAAGTTAACTATGATTTGAAGTCAGTAAGGCGATAGTTATGACTTAAATCTAATTAACTTGATACGCTATTTATTAAAAAGTTTGTTTAGTTAACAAGAATAAAATTATAAGTTTATGTTTGCAAAAATTTTAATGTTGTTTATTATTGTTATTAAAGATATATTGAATACAATATTGGGATCTGTCCTTTTTCCAAGACATTTTCATGCCTTTTATATAGGAAAATTATAATTAAAAAAATTTATGGTATTTATAGTTATCTTTGGTGAATCAGCATTTATTTCTCTTAACTGATTTTCTTTAGCAGATATAAATGTTAGATTTTGAAGATTGCTAATGTCTAATTCCTTAATATTATTCTTAGCATAATCTAATATTTCTAAATTATTACAACCAGAAAGATTTAAAAGGTCTCATTTTAAAGAATTAATAGAACAATTTAATTCTTTTAGTTTCTTTAAATTATAACAATCTAAATATTCTAAACTATTATTTTGACAAAATAAATATTCTAATTTGTTTAGATAATTAACTTCTAATGTTTTTAAGATATTGCTATAACAAATTAATTGATTTAACTTTGAGTTATTAGATAAATCTATTTCTCTTATTCTACCAATAGCACAATCTAAATGCTCTAATTCTTTGTAACCACTTACATCCAAATAATCCACATAACCATCATAGCCAGGTATTTTATTATCTAATTTATTAGCTATTAAAGAAAGAAATTTTAAAGAATCATTTAAAGAATCATAATTATCAAAATAAGTTAATTTGTTATAGTTTAAAATAATAGTTTCTAATTTGCTTCCCTCTAAAAAATCAGGTTCTTCTATTTGATTATTGAAAGCATCTAGATATTTTAAGTTCTCACACTCACTTAAATCCAAATTAGTCAATTCATTATCATTACAAACTAAACTTTTTAAGTTAATGAATCCTTCTAAGTTTAATAAATAAAAAGAAAATTGTGCAGAAATGATCAAAATTTTAGAAGATGAAATGATAAAAGAAATGCAAACTAAAAAAATTGGTGAGTTTAAAATAAGTGAATTGTAGAAAAGAACGCCTAATACTGAGTTTTTATTATTATAGATAATAATGAATAAGTACTAATTCTTTTTGTAAACCTAAAGAACTAAGGTTTAGTTTCTTCACTTCACTTCTTTTATCAAGAGGATACTTAGCATCTAATCAAGTTTAAGCATTACCATCTACCCTACTCCTTTTTATGATATCTTCTAATTCCAAATCATCTAACCTCTTTTTCTTATCAGTAGTTAAAGGATTATTACTATAAGAGATAATTCTTAAGTTTTTATTCTTTAATTCTTCAACTGAAAAGTCTCATTTAGTTAATTGATTATTATGAGTATAAATTTCTTTAACAGAAGGACAGTTCTCTATCTTTATTTAGTGAGTTTATTATGGGCTACTTGTACTAATTTCAAGTCAAGGTAATTGCGAATAGTAATCTCTTCTAATTCATTATTACCTAAGTTTAATTGAATTAAATTAGAAAAGTTCTCTATTACTACTTTACCAGTATAGCTTTATTGAATAAAACAAAGAGTTCTAATATTTTTTTTAATACTGACTAAATTGTTAAAATCCTTTTCTTTTTATTTAGCTTTTAATTCTAATCATTTTTGAAGTTAAGCAAAGTTTTCATATTCATTATTTGTCATAAGAAAAAGTTACATATTTTATTATAGTTGCATATATAAATATATTTTAATGCATTCATCTTAGTTTTAGATAAGTAATATCTTTGAATTCATCTCTAACACATGGGCGAATGTTATTATAAAGGTATTCTTGTCTTTTGTAATCTAAAGGAGATAGTGTTAACACTAAAATAGATAAAGTTCTAATTTCTTTAAAAATATTTGCTTTCTTGATTTTCAATAAATTGGATTCAGTAAAAGGTCTATTAGCAACTTATTGAACTTTTACTGTACTAAGATTAGTTGCTTCAAAAAGAAAATGTTGATATTTCTGAATACTTGGTAATTTCTTAAAATAAATTCCCAAAATTGCTTTAATATCTAAGTATTAAAAACCTTTTCTACCTTCATAGTATTGAACTTTATTCAATCTAGTTGGACTTGATCTTTTCACAACTTCTACAACATAACCTACACAATTTACACTTATTTTTTTATAAAGTTTTTTAATCAATCCAAAACTACTATCATATTTGAATTTGATATACCCAGCAATCATGAAATTTAATTCAACACTTTCATAATATCTACAAATTACTAAATATAAATAAAACCAAATTGTTACATTATTTTTATTTTGACTACCTGCATTATCACAAGTAATCTTTAAATACTTTTCACCTTTATTTAATTTTTTGATTCCATCAAAAATCATGCTAAGTGTGCTATTAGACATTTTTTCTATAAATTCATCTTCATTAAGAACATAATTGATTTATTCTCTTACTGCTTCATCTTGAATACTAAATAAATGAACTTTATATAGACTAAGATAATAGTTTACTTACTTGTTAATCTGAATGTAGCATATGAACATTTTGGATTCAATCATAACTATAATAAGCAGTAGCATCAATACTACAATGCTGTATTTTATCCTTTAAATAATGTTGATTAACTAATTTTCTTTGTTTTTCTGCTAATTTGGTATTTTTATTATAATAATTTTTTTTAATTTTGCCTTAGACAGATGTTCTTTAAATCTTTTGAATAATTCTTTAGCTTCTTCCTCTTGGCGAGCATTATAATATAAACTATTTCTAAAATTTTGACAATTATCACACAGATCAGTCCTGGGACTCATAATTTGAATTTTTGGTGTCAATTTATGTCATAATTTTCTAAAGGCATCATATTTTAAGGATTTCAATTTGCTATCTTCTTCTAGACCAATCAGAAAATCTCTGTGTACAGATTTATAACTCATTTCAGCTAGTAAGAATATAATTGATTGAGTTATTCTATTGATACTTCTTTCTGAACTTGGTAATCCATAAACTTCTGCATAATTTTCTAAAAAATTCTTTATTACTTCTACAACATTTTTATCAATCACCATCTTAGTTTTCCATTGAGGCATTCTTTTAATATTACCATGAATTTTTGGTAAAAGACCATTGTTTATTAGATGATTTCTGATATTTTCAAAATAAGTTCTACCAATCCCTAGCATATTGAGATAAGTTTCTTGATAAAGAAGTATATTGTAATCCTAATGGTAGAAAGTTCTTTTATTAGATCTGGTTTTCTTTTTAAGGCATCTACTAATATTTATTAATTCACCATCCATTGCCTTAAGTTGGGCTATTAAAAATATGTCTTATTCTAATTTAAAAAGAGCTTGAAAAGATTTTTTTAATTCTGCAAAATTTTCCTTGGAAATTCTTGAAGAGCAACTACAATTACATCCTTTTTCTAAAAAATCAATTGCTTTTGATATTCATTAGAACTATTATAATTATTATTTACATTATTACTTTTCATATATACTTATTCCTATATATATAATTTTATAATGTTATGTTCACTTTGTAGGTTTTTGCAATAAATTTTCATTCAACTTTTTAATTAATCTTTTTCATAATAATTCAGGATAGGATAAGAGAAAATACAGAAAGAATATGTTAATGAGACACAAGATATTCAGTTTTTATTAATAAAAAAAATTATTATGTCAATGAAAATTTTCATAACTACAAGAAAGTTGTTATTATTTTTTTAGATAAAAATATAGTAAAAAGTTTAAAAAATGATGATGAGATATCTTTTCTAATAAATTAATAATATTTTAAATTAATTAGTTGGATATGACTTTACAAAAGATTTTCATTTCATTTTTTTAGATCTGAGAAGAATGTCCTAATATTTTTTTATGTTATTTAAGGTAGATTGTTGATTTTTGCTTCCATAAATTGCTAAATAGATTAATATATGCAGATAATATAGCATACAATTTATTTTTAAGATCTAGAGAAAGAAAGGAAAATGGCTCCAATGAAAAAATTCCAAGGTATTGCTCAAAACCTTCCTATGTTATAAATTCTTTGTTTAAATTATCAATAGTTACACCTAATGACTAATAAAAACATAAATAAGGTAATTCAAAATTAACTAATTCACTCCCTTTAAAGACATTAAATGATGATAACTTCTTGGTAGCATTATATGTGAATGCTTGTCCAGAAATTGAGTAATTTTTCACTTGTATTAAAATATATAAGTACTTTTCTTGTGATGAATTATTTATTTTAACAAGTATCATAAAATTGACACCATATGCATTACATTTTAAAATTGCTCTTGCATTATGATTTAAAAGATTTTTTAGGACTAGACAATTTAGTGGTTCAATAAGCTGAATAAAATGTGTAAAACAAATTTTTGATTCTAGAAAACTCTCTCCAAGTTTTAAATATTTGAATTTATTATTTTCCCTAATGTGAGTTTTAATGTTTTCAAAAATTGTATTTAAAAATTCCTTTACAGATCTCTCTTCTGTATAAAAAGATATATTTTATAATATATATTGCCATCTAAATATAAGAATGAGGCATGCAACAAGTTCTCCATAATGTCTTGCTTCAATAAGCTTATTCTTTAATGAAGTTTCAAGTCAATCAAGAATGAATCTTCTATTTGTTTCAACTTCAATAATTTGTAAAGCAACTTCAGAAAGAATAGGTTCAGAGGGATACATGGTTAAAATATTTTCTCTACTTTTTGAAACACCAATACAAATACCTATATAACTGCCCACTGATACTATATAAAGTCAATCTTACTGCATTACAAAGATTGATGAATGATCAACATTATTAACATCATTAATATTTTTAACTTAGTTAATATTTTTATTTTATTTATTTTATTCATATACTATATTATTATTATTATATTATATTATTAAATTATAATTTATCTTTTATATTTATTTTATCATTATAAAATAGTTTAGCGTTAGTTAACAATTTCTTATAATTGTATTTTTGTATAAATAGGATAGAAATTTGTCCTTGTAAAAGGGCAGAGATAATAGTGTAAACTCAATAATTCAAGTTCAAGATTTAGAATCCAAGGTTAAGGATTGCTAAGGATACAAATCTCTACAATAAAGAAATCTCTTTCTAAACTACACATATTAAAAATCCTTCAACGTGTCAATTGTATTTATCGTGTTTACAAGTTGTTAAAGTTATTTTACTTGTCTAAAGTATAAACTTAAGGTTGATTGTGATAGGACTTATTCCACAGTAACTTAGTAGTTTCTCACACGTTACTCCCTATTATTAAGTCATAGTTGCCTTAAGTTTGACGGTTAAGCGTAAGATTAACATTACCAATAAATGGGTAAGCTGAGATTGAGTTGAAATATCCAAAGAGACAAAACAACTTAATATAGCCAAAGAAATAACAAATCTATTTTCTTCATCATTAAATATATATTCTATTGATTTTGTTAAGTCTGATAATTAGTATCCTCTAAGAGTTTACATTTTGCAAATTCCACTACTTTCTTAATGTCTTTCCTTGCAATAACACTAGATCCTCATAATGGTCTGCCAAAGAGCAAGCAATAGTTTGGATGATCTTTCAGTTTATAATCAAGTATATCAAATATCATGATATTGATAAATAGTGAAAATAGCTTGATATTTTTATCTCTGATTTTGTGAGAAGGATCTTGTTTTATTAAAGGTAAAAAGTTAGCTAACTTTCCCATTGTATTAAGCATGATATAAAGGAACCCATATTTGGCCTATTCAATATCTTTTATAGAATGACAAATTATTCTAAAAGGTGATAATACATTGTCATCTTTATTAGAGAGCAATTGACGTACTTCATCAAAACAGAGAAAAAGATGCAAAGTGCTATTTTCTTGATGTTGAAAAGGTATATCATTAGGTATAAATTGAATATCATGATCCATCTTCTAAATTACTTGATCCCAAAAGTTTTTTTAGCATCTGGACTCATTTGCATATTTTAAAAATCACTTGGATATGAAAGCTCTCTATTTTGAAGTTTCTCAATAAGCACAGTAATAGTTTTTTTTTAAAAACATTTGAAACCAATCAATAGCAATTTTTGGTTTTTCCCAATTTTACAATGGTTTATCATATTTTTTATAATGCTGATACAAAGAGGATATCTATTGACATTTTCTAGTCATAAACAGATGTAAATAACATAGATGTTTTAAGCTAATTTAGCAATCAAATGAGATTTGCCATATATGAGAGATTCTTTTTATATGTATCCAAACAATACTTAATATAATTTCAAAATTCATTCATAAAGTTATTTGAATGCACAAATTTTTCAGTGAAGCCTTTTTAGCTGTTGTAACATCAAAGTCCTTTGCTTTTCATTTTTGTCCTGATGTATTTGCTTAAAATCCAACATGAAAAGAAATAAAGATTAAACAAAGTATATCAAAATTAAAAAATAAATAAATGAAATAAAAAAAACAAAAAATAATTTTTTTTTTACGCAATTTGTTTATTACTTTTTCCTTTCCAAATTCAATTAGTTTTTTTGTAAGTACTCCACCTAATCTTCCCACCTCTTCTTCTCCATCTCCAATGACTTCTTTTCTTCTTCAAACTCCTTTACGCTCTTTTTCCACCTTTCTTTTTGTCCTTTGTCCTTCTATTCTTTGTTATCCAACTTTCTTCTCAACTTCTTCAACCACTTTCCATCATTTTCTTCTTTTTCAAATGTCTTCAAATTCTTCTTTGCCTCGTTAAATCTTACTTTTGCATTATTTAATTCTTGTTCGATTTCTTTGTACGTTACTATTTTTTTAAAAGTAAAAAAAATGATTTAAAAATGAATTTTTTTTAAAAAAAAATTTTTTTTTTATTGATTTAGATCATAATTATTACAATTAATTGTTTCTATAAATAATTTGAACTAATGATAAATTAGTAAGCACATAACTTGGAATTAAAAAAATTTTTTTTTACAGACAAATGAATTAAACGACAAAAGAAAATTATTTTTATTTTAATTCAACTAATAATAGAAAAATACATAAATAAATAATTTATAAAAATATAA